TGTGGGCGAAGTTGCAAAGCCAATGGTCCTATTCTTCAAGGCCGTTGCCGCAACCGTCTCTAAACTTATGAATGCTTTTCTAATGTAAGCCAAATATATATGCATATATATATATATATTTTTATTGGAATATTGATTGCATGCTTCAAATAGATATAACAAAAAATGATGCACATTGAGTTTATTAAACAGATACCAAAAATAGTAAGGTTAATTATTTATTTAGAGAGCAAGAGAGGGAACAGGCAGAAGTACAGGAACAAAAAGGCAAATAATGAGGCAAATAAAGAGGTGGGGTGTGGTGGGGGGGGGGGGGAGGGCGGGAAACGCACGATTACAAGTGGTTAATAAGTGCTTTCAAACTTAGATGAGTTCATACAAACACATGAGCGTGAAAACGATTTTTCATCAAAGCGATGCTAATTAAAGTTTCCCAAATACATTATTGAAGAAAAATAAAAAATGCCTTTTTTCAATATAAATGTAATTACCCGTAGGAAGACATAGATTATATATGCTATTTTAGTAAAAAATTGTGAGGTGAAATTTGCGATATGTAAAATAGCAGATTTGGTAAGAATAGCAGATGGGCAAAATCGTTTTAGAACAGGTTCTCGAATTGACATTTGTGAAATAAACCCTAAAAAATACAAATGAATTCTCTCAAGTTTATGATTTTTTAAGACATTAAATAAATTTCATATGATATTTAAAATAAATATTTCAATTTTACGCAGACTTTTAAACTAGAAATAAGATTAGATATGCACAAACAACAGTGTCAAACACTGTTAAATAGAAGAGCCATTGACTTTATCAATTGGATTGACGTATAAAGCCTTTTATTAACAAAGCAGCAATATGACGTTATTGCCAAGAGTGAATTATAAGTACAGCAGAAAATCTCAAATATTATTATGTTTCATTTTGATTACTCAACATTACTAATAGGTATTTAAAAAAAAGATTGAAAATATTAATATGAATAAAATTAAATTGAGCAAAAATAGAGGATGTTAAACAAAAGGATATAATAAAACTCAAACAAACTCATTGCGGGAGAAAAACAGCGTGAAATTACTAGGCAAATACTACGATAAGTTCAAAGTAAGCAGAACAAGGAAAGCTCAATGTGAAGAGTGCTGATTGGAAATTATGGCCAACTACCACTGAAATGAAGCATTAAAATCCACTCAGTGGTACGCCACGTTGCCTCGACTATTGATTGGTGGTTGGGCGGTGTTGCTTGCACTCACGATTGTACTTGTTCGCAAACTCGATCAGTAGCATGGACGCATCCTCCGGACTGTTGGAACACACATGAGATTCCTTGATCGGCCTTGGTAGTGTTGTGTACTCAACAAATAGCTCAAGGTCAACCACAGCCAGGGAACTTGTGCTTTGCTTCTTCTTCCCAAATGCGATATCGAACTCCAGTTCGTGGAGTGTGAATGCTGGCATAATTTAGCTGCCTTACTAATTCAATTATCTTCTTATAAATTATTAGAATATGCCAGATTTGCCTACGTATAATTGGAAATAACTGTCAATCGCTGTGATATGCAGCTTATTTCCACGTCGTAGTGGAAGGTCTGCAGATAAACTCTCGGTCAACTGTGCTCTTAAGTATATGCTCTTGCCCTACAGGTTAACTCCTATTGGTGTCTGTTTCATGGTCGCGGGCTCCGTACTTGGAAGAAAAGATATAGCATCCGATTTTATTCAACTCGGATTGTTCATTGCAACAGTCCTTGTCGGACTCGTAATCCATCTGGCTATTCTCATTCTCGCTCTTTTCCTCGCCTCTGGTAAGAATCCTTTCCGCATTCTTCGCTACAGCACGGAACCTTTCCTCATTTCTTTCGCTACAACCAGTCCGTGAGTTCCTCCAATTTCTGTATGAATAAGCACTAAGATTTGGTGGACAAATCGTCAATACAACGCACAATACTTTGTGACTTAATGGGATTGGCATTTCTAAATACTTATCATAAGGATCAGCACTTGAGGGGAGAATGCTGCTTCCAGGTGCTACTCTTGTTAAAACAGCAAATATTAGTTGCTATCTGGCTGGGAGTAGGTAGTGGAAATTTGACCATTTGAATATTTAGCTGAGAATTCGAAGTGCTATATTTCTGCTTAATGGGGATATTTTTGTTCACACTGCTTTTCAACCCAAACTGTAGGTTGACATTCTGTGACATGGGGCTCAATTGGCATTGACGTTTGCACGACTTGCTTTCCATTCAACTAACATTAGCACACAGTTGGCAGTCTCACGTTGTATTGTTCGTCCTCGAGTTCACCTGAGGTCGACTAACGGATTGAGAGAGACCAAGTCCATGTGAGACCAGTCAAACGCTAGAGTTGCTTGTCGTCGTGGCTGACTTGCCTTAGCCATGGCCTTGCGTGAGCTTATTATAGTGTGCATGAGTGCGCGATGACTGTAAGGCAGAAGATGTTGGTGTTTTTACAACGATCCAATAGGAATTCACTGGCATAACGTATCTCATTCTGTGGATTTGTGTGCTAGCGTGGTCATAAAATTATTCCTCCCTCCCCTCCACCTTCCCCCCCCCCACCCCCTAACCAACTTATAATGTTAAGAAGAGCCTCACATCACTTATCACTGGATTGTCTTGGTCGCGTAGTGGAAGTGTCTTCAAAGAGGACTATCCTCACGAAGGTCCCGTGAATGTGTCATTGGAGTGAATGATCAATGCCGAGTTCATATGACCTCTTCTTCTGTTCTAGTGCCGTGGCTATGGGTGAAATGTACACCGGTCTTGACAAGTATGGAACAAACAAGTTGGTGTCCAGATTCGTTGTGCCAGTTTGCACTGCAATGAAGGGAGATGGGCCTGCTATATTCATAGCCTCTGCGTGTGTCTTCGTTGCTCAACAAACGGGTGTTGAACTCGATGCAGGCAAGATTGTCTTCATTGCGTAAGCTGGTTTTTCGTGAATTATTATATTGTTATTCTATATGTGTTGGAAGGGAGGTACTTGGAGCCTGGTGGGTTGGAGTAGTACCGAACTCGTGTGGATTGTAGAGAAATGATTGTGAGGGAATGAGTGAATATGCGACAATTATATGTGCAATTGGTCAGAGCCAGCACATATGCACGAAGGCTCAGTGGATCCTCGAAGAGGAAGAAGAAGAAGAATGATTTAGTGGAAGTCGATAGTCACATACACACATAGACACTCACGCACACACACACACATACGGATGTGCATCGTGGTAGTTGTTGTAACAGAAAGACTGGAACTATCGATTAGCAATTGGGAGTCCCATTAGTGTAGTGAATAGGAGTATTCTCACTCATTTTCTTGGAAATTTCTCAATATTTTATCTTAGAAAGCCAATTCGCATCAACCAAAATTGAAGACTTCTTTTGTCCCTTTGGCAGATTGCTCACATTCGCCTCCACTCTCGCTGTTCCCAACATTCCTAGTGCAAGTATGGTGCTTGTTGTCACAGTTCTCTCTTCCATTGGAGTACCCAGTGAGGGAGCCGGTATCCTTTTCGCCATGGAGTGGCTTCTGTAAGTGAATTCCATTGATCACACTTTATGCACACTTTTTTCAAACGGATGCGTGCATGCAGTGGAAGTCTAATGACGATGGCATGCTAAGATACCTTATGGTTGCTTAGTTGTTCTGGTTTTGCAGCTCTTAAGGCAACCATCTGGTGCAGACCACTAAAATGTGATAGGAAGCATACTACCTCTCACCGAAACTCTAACCTGAGTATTTGTTTCTTATAAGGTGAGGGGATATGCAGCTGAGCACTCCAGTAGATGGCGGTGTAACTGGAATGTCCTGAATGTAGCAAGATTGTGTCTAGATGCTCCAGTAGTTTTAATTGAAAGTACTTAACTTAATTGTAGGGACCGTTGTCGTTCCGGTGTCTCAGGTCTCAGTGTGATTTACGGGTCTACAATAACTGATGCCATCTGCAGGCGACTCAAAAAGGGTGCTGACCTAGAGGATGAAATGAAAGAAGATGACTTTGGAGAAGGCCATCAGACCATTATGCCAGATGAAGACCTGGTCTAACTTGATTATAACTACCCTTTTATCATGTTATGTATAGTTGACATTGTCATAAAGTCAGTTTACTGAAGTAAGTAGTGAGTGTGTGTGTGTGAGTGTGTGTGTGTGTGTGTGTGTGTGTAATTGGAGAACAAAGTCATCTCCATCGATGTAAAATTGTTTGGCACATATTTGATATTATTTGCCAAGTATCTAAAATGGTTGGAGTCAATGGAGGCACAGTGTGCTCTAAGCACCACTTGAATGGGTATTTTGCAGATCCCTATTTGCTGCTGAATCCAGTATGTCATATTTGCGTGATTGCAGAATAGTTGTGCAATGTTCTGCCAATGAGATATTGTAACACGTGATGCCAATTTGTACCGTCCTTCCATTGATTTGGAGCAGTTATCTGAGGTGGATGGAAGTTAGGTCATTGGGATTAGAGGTAAGGAGGTTGGAAAGGACTATTGTCTGGGAGGAGAAGAAAGTTAAATATGGGAGAGTAGTTGGGAGGAGGGGATGGGGGGGAGGAGCTGTGAGTTGGGGATTAGAGATTGGAGGTTGGTGGTAATCGTGCAACCAAGATTCAAGTTTTCCACATGTCTGCAGTGGTGAGTGGTTATTTCAATTTCGAAAGATTGGTCAGTGATACTTCCATTTACTAATTGTTGCAGATCTACCCAATTTTAATATCCCAATGTGGTGTTTTCACCTATTTACTTAGAGGAATATTAGACTGTGTGTTTTTCTTTCGAAAATAGTATTACTGTATCTACTCGACTTCGTACACCCTCATCCAATGTTGATTCAATCAATTTTCAATCTCTCTTACTCACCAACATTGCCATCTTCAAACTGATTTTTGATCATTACCTATGTGATCTAAGGTGAAATTGTGTATTGTTCTAGCTTGAAACATAGCGACTGCCTAACTTAACGATTCATAACTTACAACACTCGCCCAGCAGTCGTACCACTTTCCCCAGCCCTCTGTCTATGAATTGGAGATTTGCTGTATGTGGGGTGTGGAGAATGCAACTTGTACAGTTTCTTATTCACCTAGACTCGCTAAAGGGGATTTAGAGATTCACCTCTATTCACGAATGTAGGGAAATTGCTCATGCAAGTGCAAAAGCTAAAGAGAACTCTCTTCAGTTCGACAAAATTGGAATACTCAGGTTCAAGTGAAGCCACTTAGCACCAATGCTTTTGTGATGTTAGGTTTGTCGTATGGCACCACTAGTTCTAGTGCGTTAATAGTAGTGCATGATATCTGCCTTGGATCAAGTTTGGCATCATGAAGGTGCGGTAGGTAAAGAAATTGATTGATTTGCACTCCACTTACGTCATCACCGACATGAGTGCACTTGGGATCTCGCATCAAGCAAATGATCTGCTACTTTCAGATGTGGCAACTGAGTAGCCATAAATTATTTAAATTGAATTTCAGGATGGGAATATTGGCACACGAAATCAGAGGTCAAGTGTTGAAAGAAGAAGTGAGAAAGCTAAATGACGAAATTGTTGCATTACAAATGAATGCATGTTTCGGCAAGACTGATGAGACTGAATGGTAAGGCACGAAAACATAAATGTTAGAAATCACAACATGTGAACTAAATGTCATCTTCGGTTAGTTTCGCTTTGTCTGGAGTTACCGTCACTTTCAAATTAGACTAGCAATTAGTCAATCATCATCTGGTCACAGGGAGGCTATTGCTTGTCTGGAATTCTAACTTTAGACTTTTGAAGATATTTGTGGTACATATTTGGTTGACAAATATTCAATTGAGCTGTTGACAACTGATCTTGGTTAGCTGGGCCTCACTTCAGAAGAACATAACAATCCATCTAGAACTGTTTGGGTAACTAGAATTTCGGTGTCAGTTGTGCCATGAGTGTTTATTCACTGCGTTCTGCTTCTGAGCCAGTGTGCAAAATGAGCCAATTAAGCAGAAAGGAGGGCAGCAATGATTCGCATTTAGAGCGTTTGGGGCTCATTGGCCACTAGAGAGTTTGTGTAAACATTGTTAGTGTTACAAAGCTTTGATGATTAATGTGGATGGTCACACACATCAATGTCACCAGACGTGAATATCATGACTCATGTGTCTGTGTTGTGTCCAGATGTCGAATTGTTATTCATTTGGCATTCGACGAAGAAAGTGCCCAAACTCGGTCGACTTTCACAGCCTACGTCAAGTCTCTGCTTATCACAACTGTTAAGGTCATCTATTCCATTCCAATTCACAATTCCCCCTCTTCTGCCTCACCATTTCTCACGTTTCTTTCCCTCATTCGATTTATCCTAGTCATGTTGTTTTGGGAGCAGTTGTTGAGGCATAAATGAGAGCAAGATTGATTCTTAACCTCGAAGTTCATCTTGTGGCTTGTACGAGACTCTGCTTTGACAATTTAGTGAGTTGATATGGGCGTGACTTTATAGTTACTTTCTTGTATCTCGGAGTTCTTTTGTGTCTGCGGCGCGTAATGCAGTGGAATGAAAATATTGATGGAGTGTTGAGTATAAGGTAAGGAAGACGAACATCAGGTGTTTGGAAAAGTGAGAAGAGTAGTTGGAGGGACAGTTTCTCCTTTGAATGACTAACTCCCCTGTCACATATTGACTCGAATGAAGCTGGTTTAAGTGGCATCAGTGTTAGCTGCATATCGGAATTTGAATGGAAATAAGTGATCTGTGGTTAAAGTGTTGGCAATGCCTATTTTATTTAACAGAGAGAAATACTGATGATCCATAGAATACATGCTGTAGGTGGTAGATAAGATGACCTTCACGGATCACGTGAACACCTGGTTGACCTCTTTGTTGCAGTCAATTCAATTGACGTCAAATGAAAAGTGGAAGTTGACATTCATCCCATGAAATGAAGTTTTAGGTGGCCTTATTCACAGCCTTGGCAATGTAGAAATCCTAGTTTCAATACTGGAATTCCAAATCGCTTATCCACCGCACTCACATTAGACATTGCTCTACATTTAAATGTGAACATTGTTGGACCCAAATACAATGATATCAATTTTTGTCTCAAATATTTTGCAATCCTGATGATTCATCTACAGCTCATTGAAATCAGTAGTTAATTGTTTGGAGTAGTTCCTTCTTAATCAATCCTTTGTTCATTTTGTTATGGAAGTTTATTTATTTCAAATGGCAGGCTTTATGATATTTATCATTAGCCCTTAATCTTTGACTTCAGCTTCCCCCAAGAGGGGGGGGGGGTACATTTATAGCAGTTAATTAATAGCAATTCATTAGCAGTCTTCTTGCTTCCCAGTATCTTTGGATTTCCCTCGTTGTCTTTAGGGCTGAACACCGAATCAGGTGGGTCTTCTCCATTTCCTCATGTAGGTTAAATAGAGGGCACGTGGGTTGAGTGTATACTCCCAATCTGTGAAGGTGTTTTGCCAAGCAATCGTGTCCGGTACGTAGTCTAAACTCAGCAACGGCTTCGATTCTTGGCCAGTCGGGTATGTCGGAGAGTGCCACTGTCCACTGTTTCTCCTTTATTCGAGCTTTGAGTTTGTTGAACCTTGAGGTCTGAAATTCTCTCCTGATTAAGGCCTTCATTGTGTGGAAAGACACCGGCCGATCCATGCATTGCAAAATCGTTGTCCCCTTCTTAGCAAGTTTGTCAGCAATCTCATTGCCTTTAATGCCACAGTGACCAGGAATCCATTGTTATGGAAGTTGTAACGACTATAATTATTATCATGATATTCACTGACCTTTACACGAAATCCTGAATTCATTGAATATCCTCATTTACGGTATTATTAGCTTTCAACCTCAAACACAATGACAATAGAACTTTACCGACTTAAAGTTGCCCTCTTTTTATTATTGCCCACACCCTCCCTCCCTCCCTCCCTCCCTCCTGCCCAAGCAAAGCATGAATGCATTTTGAAGCACGAACAAGCTTCTAAACATTATCCTCCAATTGTATTCCATCAACCTATTACCTTCTTATTGATCCTATCTGTCAAAATTCACTTCCATTAAATTGTTTCGGAAATAACGCAGGCTACATTGGTGGTAGTATTGACATGTTGCAAGTTAATTTGAATTTAATTTGGCCTCATTTGTGTCTATTACATTGTGGCTTAGTTCTTCTTCATCTAAGCCAGCATGCGCCCTGATTAGCATATCGGTTTTATTCGATGGATTGAAACCATTATATTGTTCCGCATTTACGACATATCCTCAGACAACCCGTTCATACGATGCGAACACTGTTTCTAAAGTAAATTATTGTCGCCTAATAGTCTCAAACGTTGCTGCCACCTCTCTGTTCATCTCAAGCAGATTGTCATCTCACCGACTGTCCCTCTGCCGATATGGGCAGACTGAGTTCCTGAAGGTGGCAGAGATGCAATAATATCCTACCTTCTCCATCTTACTTACAATTATTAGAGTGAAAACAAGCTATGTTCGAAATTCACTGAATCACACATTCCAGTGGTGTTGTGTCCTGTTTCAACTCGTTCCTACCCAAGATATCTAGCTGAGACAGTATGCAATAAGTAAGCCAAATCACCTTTCTTCCTACACTCTCCCCATTCGATACTCTATGTTCAGCATGCCACTATGAGATTGCCGAATGCAACTGAATTAACCCATCAGTGTTTTATCCAAGGGTGCTGTAACCACAGAGAGGTTAAGTCTCTCCTCAGTAACGCACTCAAATATGTTCAAATGGAGGATGTTATTTACTTTCCCTAATAAGAATAAGTTCGCAGCACATCAGACGTCTACGCACTCGGTCTTCCTGCTTCCTTGTTAGAAGGTGTAGTAAATCAGGAGGGCTCAATAAATGCATCTTTCGCATTCAACTCTGTGACTGATGTGCATTAAAGACTAGTGTGTTCTTGTTTATTGCCTATTTTAACACACGAAAAGTACAAAGCCATTCAATAAGTCGACGTTTTCGGAGATCATCCATTAGAGTTACATGTTGCTGATTAAAATGTGATTTCCTTGGTTATGCACCTATAGCAAAATTAGATGACATGTTTTGATCTGATCCGAAACTTCTAAAGAAACTGACTTGGTAAGCCAATTTATTAACCTTCAACCTTCAAAAATAACGGAATCTCATTTTAGTTTGTGACAACCAAGTCGGATACTGCGTGCTAGTGAGTTTGCGAGTTCTAAACTTTACTAATAATATTTTGTAGTTGAACTGGCCGGTTTAGAAGTCATATGAGGACAATCGAGAGGTTACGGGAAGAGTTGGTGTAAAAGGTCATAAACAGTTAAATCTTTCTACTTAATTGGTGAAAGTAGGAAGTTTTGGAATATTAGGCATTATGAACTGAAACGATGCCAATGGGTTTACCGAAGGGAAGAGCTATGGTTTTGAGTCAAATTTGCAGTTTTCGAGAAGACTATTGAGAACATTGATCCGTGCTTGACCTTTTCAACTAGATTATTTACCACTTATTAAAATTATTTTCCAGTTGTTAATTCTTGTGTGTTGAGATGGAGGTTTATGGAACAATTATACGCATTTTCATGTCATGATAATGCGTTCAAGCACATGGAAAATGACAATTCACGCTATGGATGAACAAAGAAATCTCATACGCACTCAGGCAAGTTGAACGATGCACCGTGCTACTTCTCAAATAAGTATTGAGTGCGGTTGTGAGTGGAGAAACCTCTCAGTCAACTCCCAATAGTTTCTCTTAACTCGGTAAGGGATACATGCATCCACAAAAAACGTATTTCACATCAGTCATCTGCTTCCTCTATGACGTTGAGACACCTTCGCTAATTTCAGGAGCCTTTCCATATAAGGGGATTTGCCATAGAGATTATTGTTGTTTAGTTAAGGCTCATTCGGATGACAATCCGCTTTAAACACTTTAATACCTGTTTAAACAGGGGTCTGGTGTATTGAAAAGGTAGAAGAAAGACCTTAGCAATTTATGAATGAAGCTTTTAAATTTCCATCCATTATTGGTGCAAGCTCTTCCTTTGTAGAAACAGTTCAGATTAAGGGGAATATCTCGAAATTTCAAGGTCGCATATTTCTGCCTGAATGGCTCCATCCTGTGGTCCTTAAGTCACATATTTTCCCACCCTTTGCAAATGGTTTTTAGAAATTAGTTTTGCTATGTAAAATTGAAAATTAGCGTTAAAATGTCAGAATGGTATTCGTTAAGTTCCCCAAGGCTCTTTGTAGGACTAGTGTGTGTAATCTATGCGTCAAGTTCACATTATTTACACGAACGTTAAGAGTCAAATATGGAGCCTCAGGAATAGATCGACAAGAAACCAAGTGAAATTACGCTGCATGAAGTTGCATAATAGGCGCGAAGTCAACAATTCTTTTCTAGACCTGTTGATTAGCGCCTTGGCCCCTTGACGTCTATTTGATCACTCATAGACGATACACTCTACTGAGCCCCCCCCCCCCTACCCAACCACCTCTAACGTATTTGCAAAGCTTTACATTAGGATACTAATGGAGCCAAAAGCGATAGCTCTCTTAAATTTAGAAAAGAAAGTCATTTCAAGAATAAGAAGTTCTCCCAAAAATCTGCTTATTTATTTTACAAGAGTTGTATATATATACAAGGATTTGGGAGGTGAATACGGAATATTGAAATCAGACGTCAATCGAGGCAGTGATCATACTAACTTGGGCTGCCTCCCAAGGTTGAAAGTAGAGAATTGTGACTGAGGATGAGAGGACGGCTGAGGGATTTGCACTCGCTACAGTCAGACTCTCTCCAGAAGCGTTTGTGGCCACAGCAGGCGCCAACTCACAACTGGCCAGAAGTTCCTGTACAAACCAAGGAAAGGTGGGTGGTCCGTAGAAGATGAAATTCCGTGCACCACGTATTTTGCGTCTAAAAAGATGCAATTACAGCACGAGGCATTTAGATACTTTTTCTTCTTAAAATAAAATGTTTGTCTCGAGATTCCCCAATTATTTATGATACCTAATCATGCCAACTTCAAGGCTAATACTACGACCTCCTACAACGAGGAAGATGAAGCTAGAAAGCAACATAACAAACGATCTGTTTAGATTTTCGAGGCAATCGTGAAGTCACAAAAAAGTGAGAATTCACTTGACTCCTTATTCTTTAATTTTCCCTTGAAAACCCACTTCCAAACCACCTCCATTAATTTTCTACTGTTTCCTCCAATTAATTCCCCAGTTCAGGTGGAAACGTGGGGATATTGATTCACGTACAGTGGGGAAATGAGTTAGAGTGCTTTCTCTTTTTTTACTACATAGTAAAGCTTCATAAAACATCAGTTATCAAGAACCCACAATAGAGGGCATTCACCTTCGATAAAAATAGTATCGTTCACTGAGAAGCATTATCCGAATACGACCCTGATCGAAAAGATGTCGGTTTCTTTCGGCTTCACTGTCCTCAATATATCTACAGAGTAAATATACACTCAATTAGTAAAACGCCCAGGAACTTCAGCCCATTTGTCAAAGACAAACTCACTCATGGACATAGCAAAATGAGAGAGCCTCTTCACGCAAAAGTCTCCTCAACTCTTCCAAATCATAGTAATCTGGAACGTATATAAGGACACGTTCATCCAAACCTTTTCTCAGTCGAGGAAGTATGCGCTATTTGAATGCAGCCAAACGCGCTATTGGAATTGCTCGTCCACCTGAAATTTAAATGCATTCATTACTGCAATAAATCCAAGTACTTCGAATATTTTCAGGTGTCAAGATACCCACCCTTATCCGAGAGGTTATAGGGGGTTAAGCATGTCTTCAGAACAATTGAATTATTAGAGTCGTCCATGCGAATTATTTTAGCACCCACTTCCTCCTCATCGTCACTATCATCAGGTTGATCAAGCCGTTTCGTTAGTTCTGTGAGGGGGTTCGAGTTAAGGAGGGATCCATTTACTCCAAAAGTGATTAACTGAAGTTTGAAATTGTCTAGTGCTGTTATCGGTTTGGTAAACTCCGATTCCGTTCCTGAACGCCTTTTAAGTCCAGGAACACGATGATTTTCTGGCAGATAGCCACTGAATAAGTTATCATTCTGATATTTCGGCATAGGGAAAAATATATTCATCCCTTGGAAATCTGTGACGAAAAGATCCAGTTACCATAATGGATAGAAACCAAAAATAACAAAATTCAAAGCATTACTTTCACATTTGCTCATAAGACCGGTGATCAAATAATTATTCACTGCAGAAAAGAGAAGAGTTTGGCGGTACCGCGAACCGTATCCGGCCAAATAAGCAAGGCGAATTCGGGCTGGAGACGACAGTGAAGGCTTGATGGGGCGCTGATTTAACTGACCGACGACTTCTTGTACGGTGGCCCAGTTTTGCATCAATAAATGCTCCGCCTGATCAATAATTAGAAGTTCAATTGACGTGGTAATGCACTGCATGTCGGCTAACTTCTCGCTGAATGCAAAAACATTGAAAATCAAGTAAAATGAGAAAATGTGCATGAGAAAGATGTGGTTTATAAAAAACCAATAAAGATGTAACCGTCCCACTTAACATAAATCAATATCATGAAAAATGAGAAAATTTAAATGTATGGTATTGGTTATTCATAGCGTGATTGATCATTTAACTAGATTCTTCAGGAAATTCGAATGAATGAATTAATAATATCCAGTTGCCTCGAGAAATATGGTGCAACGCATATGGTCATTCATTAGTATGGATAAACAATTTTCGTGCTATTTTTTATATAAATGTACCAAATAAATCGTCGAATATCTCGTAAGCTTCATGTCTTAATCTCCCCGACACCATCACAGTCAAATTTAAACAAACATTACATCTCACATATGT